GCAATAGAGATCTGCACGGGATGTGAATTATCAAACAAAGTTTCGAAACAGACTGTTTTTGCTATAAAAATATTGTTTGAATTCGAAAAAGTTATGTTCGGACCCCATGACGGTATTCACTATAACATAAACTGAGAACAATTACGTCTCGCAACTCTGCTAACAAATCATTTAAAAAAGTACATACCGGATAAAACGTAAAATGAGTTCATATTCATGAGGCAAATTTTCTATACTCATGACAAGAACAAAAGCAAGAAGCCACTGCTTTTATTACTGTTTTTTGACTGCCTTTTCACTACTGATGAGCGTTACATTCTTCTTTAAATTATATGCAACATATTGATTTGTTTTCAAATAGACTTTTTTCAAAAACTCACGACACCGACTTATGACACCTACAGTTTACATATTGATTTCATTGATTTATTTTCCAAATAACTAATATTGAGCGAATGACTATAGAATTTTCTTGTTTTTTTCTTTCTCTTGTATAATACTTATTTCTTGCATCTTGTTCAGTGGTTGTCGTTTGTTGGTTTGGTTCATAGGTGTTTCTCGTTTCTCGTTTTTTTATATAGATGCGACCGTTGGTTTTCCTGATGGAATTGTTTTACACTAGTCATTTTGGGGCCCTTTATAGTGATTAAGATTATAACACAATGTTGACTGCTGTTCCCTATTTTTGAGATTTTTACCTATTATGTCTGTTTGTTTTGTTCACACATTGTTGTCAATATAATGGAATTTTATGCGACTGTCATACAAGTGAGAGGTTTAGCTAGCTATAAAAACAGGTTTAATCCACCATTTTCTACATAAGTCAAGAAAATGTCTGTAGCTAGTCAGGAATAATTATGATAGTTGTTATCCATTCATTTGATGTACTTGAGCTTGTGATTTTGCCATTTTATTAGGGACTTTCCGTTTTGAATGTTCCTCCGTATTTTTGTTATTTTACTTATTATAGCTTGCTGTTCGATGCGAGCCAAGACTCTGTGTTGAAGGCCGTAATTTGACCTATAATTGTTAAATTTTTATACATTGTGACTTGGATGAAGAGTTGTCTCATTGGCACTCATACCACATCTTCTTATTTATATTTATAAATCATTTCACATTGATTTCAATAAAACCTCAAGTAAAAGAATACTGTTATCAATGCACATCCGAATCCGTTTTTCTAAGATTATTTTGTTTTTAAATATTCAGTTGTGAGACTCTATCTAATGGACCGCCTGCTACTATCCATTTAGTAGATTTGGCCTTTGAAATCCTTTCGGCAGGTTCGAATTGTGGATTCAAAATGTGGTTTGTTGTCCCACGCTGAGGTAATCTCTTTGTAAGTTATATGGTCGTCATCACAATCTGATTGACCGTTATAAGTTTGTGTGTCCCAAATGACATCAGACTTTTTCCTTTTGTCATTGATTCCTTTTCTTTCGTCCCCGAAAATAACCTTCACGACGGAAACACATCGGGTGTCGTGCAAGAAGCTGGAACTGATTATCCTTTATGAGCACTTGAGTTATCTCAGCTTTACGGGTTCCGTGTTTTCTAATATATCGGTTTTTTTTTCTATGAGAATTTGTCCTTAATTTTGTTGATTTTTCTGTCCCCGGATTGTTTTTTGTTTCTGATTTTCCTTTTTCTTGATCTACGCATCGGTTTTCTACTCTTTTCATTTTGTTACTATGCATACCTACCGTCTTTCTAATTTAACCTCTGACCAAACATAGGGGATGTTTTGGATCAAGAAGTTAAATTAGTAAAAGCCCGCTGTATGTTGTAAGCGCTTGTCTGAAGCACGGAAATTGTCGATCTATGGTATGTCATTGTCTGAAGAGACTCATTTCAGCTTCCAATATTATCCATATGTAGTTTTGAAATTATAAAGAAACTATGGTTTCAACTTCCTCAGTCAGAGTTGACCTTAAATGAATTTGGCTATTTGTTAAGGTTCTTTTTGGTTAAAAGTTCTTCAACTGATTCGGCTCTTATATTCCTTGACTTTCAAATATTCGGCTTTGAACGTTTCTGAGAAAGGCAAATCAATAAAGGCGCTTCGGACGGTCTAAAGAGATGAAATAAAGTATTACAGACCTCATTTTTCTCTATAATAAAAAAGAAATAAAAGTGAATTTTAATTAAAAAAAAAAAAAAATTTCTTTAAGGTCTACCTTTTCTCTATAATACATTAAAAAGAGAATATAAAAAAGAAAAAAATACGTTCAACCAAAAGAAAAAAAAATATGGTTGTGATAAGTAAAACATACATAAAGACATACTATTTGTTTCTTCAAGTCACTGACTTTTTACCTGTCGCTGTAGTTGTCAACTGTAGGTGTAAACATTTTTTGAAAAGTCCTAACAAGTCAAGTTATTTAAAATATTATAATTAATTAGGAATATATATATAATTATGTATGGACTACATGCATAACTTTTGCTTTCGTTAAATGTGAACCACGAGTCACGCCTTTGGAAACCTTTTTGACACGAACACACAAAGGTGGTACTCGCGGATATTTTGTACGAAATCAATGTGCATAAAACCAGATAATATGTAACTGTCATCATTCTTGTAGTTTTTTCCTGCTTTAGACTTTTTACGCTGTATGGTTCTATTTCTAGTTCATAATATCTCGATTTGACGTCGCTGATAAGTTCTCTGCTCACATTTATGTTAATGAAGGAACAAGTCGACAAGAAGAAGATCACAATTAGTTTCCATAGTAATGCCGATTGGTTGTTGAAAAGCACGTCCACCAAACGTAACAATTATGTTGTTGATACGCAATCAAACATTATGATGATTTCAGTTTCAAAACATATTTGTTTGAATATTCATTTTTTATATAAAGTATGATCGACTAAACGTTTTACCGCCATTCATTCAACAAAAAAAGATGGCAATCAACAACATTGTGATGAGGTATATCGAACCAGCGGTGGATCTTTTAAGTTCTAAAGAATATTTGATTCTTTTCTTTAGAAATTTGCGGTAATATCAACTTTTGATTTTTCTAGGCTTCACACAACTACTCTACATGCTCAATTGAAGATCGTGTCTTTGAAAATGTTTTTCTAGATAAATGGGATTCGGAGATACTAATGTTTGTGTTTGAGGTCATGGAAAATCTTACTTCGTGAAGAACCGAATTGATTCCAAAATCAAACGCACCGAGGATGATATCCACAAAAAGCTGGACTTTTTGATTGACAAGATATTTTTTGAGTTGTGATTTATTGATATGTTTTACAGATAGTCAGTATTCCAAGGGGTATTAACTGTTCACTTCTATTGGCTAATGGACGAGTTTTTTTTAACTCATATGCAGCAGAATTCATATAAAACCGTCTAAAAGACAGAACAAATTGTGGAAATTTCTTTAATTTCACCTTTAAAACGACGGATGTCACATGTGTAGCAGGATCTGCTTACCCTTCCGGAGTATCTGAAATCACCCCAGTTTTTGGTGGTGTTCGTGTTACTCAGTCTTAAGTATTCTACGTTGTGTTTTGTGCACTGTTGTTTGTCTTATTCTTTTTTAGCCATGGCGTTGTCAGTTTACTTTCGACTTATGAGTTTGAATGTCCCTTTGGTATCTTTCGCCTCTCTTTTACATGTGTGTAATGTATTTCAGTATTTTCCAAAATATTGACTGTATTAGTAAGATAACTATTCGGTACACGTTTGTTCTATGTGATACCATATACAGATGTAACATTATATTCAGTAGCTGCTTCAATCTACTGTGGATTCATTTTTATTCGTGGTATACCAATTTTCGTGGGTTTCGTGGGTCACAGCGAACCACGAATTTAAGAATTCAACGAAGAATAATCCCGAGAAATGTGTATGGAGTCGGATGTTTATTTCCAGTTATGTTATGCAGTTCTAGTATAGTGTTGACTAACGATAAACATTGTAACATAACACGTGTTTTTCTTGAAAGAAGATACAAGTATTTTGATTAAATCAATAATAAATATATCGAATATCAGTGACAATTTACTTTTTAAAATTGATTTAAACTGTTCATGGAAAATAGATGCAAGTTGTTAATTACCGTGTCATAGTTTGGTTTACTGGTGATTAAAAATCAATAGGATTAACGGTGCGGGGATATTGCCCGTAGGTAATATTATTTATGACAGGAACATTTATTTTCACACCTTTTACTTATACTTATATATTATATCGTGATTAGGGAAATGAGCTTTCGATCATAGAGTTTTAAATGCCTTATAAAATTCCAACAAGAATTTATAAATTGTAAAACAAACAAATAATTAGTTGTCTCTCTCCATTATTGTAATAGAAGTTTTCAATGAACACTTTAACCTAGAATGACCAAGCGAGGATTTTGACAATTCAAAACCTTTTCAATGAATTCTTTCTTTCTTTTTTGTTTGTTTTATTATTGATCAAACCAAGGAGGGTATATGATCTCCTAAATTAAAAAGAAATCCACGAATTACGTATCGGATTTTTTTTTTTTTTTGTTATCAGCGATCCACGAATTTACGTATACCACGAAACGTCTTTTTTTCTCTATCCACGAAAATTGATACCCACGAAAATAAATGAATCCACAGTACTTAATTTTGACTCTATTAGATAGTTGTCTCATAGACAATTATACCACGTGTCCTTATTTTATATCATATGCATCAAGCAAAGAATTATATTCAGCCGACCGTCGTTCTCACATGATTTTAGTCTTTTTGAATGATTTGGTTTCGGCGGCTTTAGTGAGTCGTATGTAGACGAAACACACGTATGCTTACCAAATTATTAGCCTAGTATTTTTTATCAGATTTTGCAATTTCCTCGTGTTCAAGGCATCGAAAGTTGGGAGTTGTAGAATGCTATTTCTTTGCTTTTGAATTGTCAAGGTCATAATTGATTTTGTGTCAAAAATTCTGACAATATATCCTTCAATTCTATTGATCTATGCGTTGCAGTTCATATCAAATGAAAAAAGACTGAGACAAAGTGTTGTTAACATTTATGTCAAAATTAGTACAAATACATGTATAAAGTTAACACATGTTTCGAAGACTAATTAGTCTACAACCATTTGATACCTACACGTAAAGTTACTTTACATTCGTTCAACGTACATTTGTATTCGATTAAATTATGGAAACGTTTACAATTCACATTCCCTCGGTTTTTTTAAGTTACCTTGATTTGTCTCCGCAGAATCGATCAACGAGATTTGAACATCATTAAACTACTGTCTTCTTAATTACTATGATTGACCCGATTAAAACAACATTATTGTCTACAAGGTCCATGCCACTTACAACAATGATAAATCCTATACAAGATATGTTTATAATATAAAATAAAGAATGCTAACAAGAGGTCATCTCTACACTTACTTACGACCGTTGACAATGTTTAATTTGATAACATATGAAAATGTCATTAGTTTAAGGTCCTTTAAGTAATTTGGAATTCGGAAGATCCCCTACAGTTTCATATAAATTATTCTAAATGTACAAAGCATGAATCTTAAATAAATATTATGGAATGATGAAAATGAAGATTTCGATACATTTTGTGTCATGGAATGCTTGGATTAATTAGTAGTTTCCTCGATTGGGCGAATGCCGACATAAGCCAAATTAATAACCAAATTCATAATCAGAATCATCGGAATAATCACAACAATCGGAACCTGAAGAACTTCGTTCTGGATCAATGGCGTCCAATAGAGACTCAAATTTCATTTTTAGTAATCCCATGAGGGTACCAGGTGTCCTCCAAGGTAAGATCGATCGAAACTCAAAATAAGATAAAAACTTGAAAAGTCGACTGTAAGTCGTTCTATAGTTAAAATCCAGGGTATCGCCATATACTTTTTTAACGGAGCCAATTATCACCTGACTACCAATAACCATGCCGTTTGCATTCACTCTAAATTCATCACCTGGATAATCATCAAAAACTACCTTTTTATTGTTGACAGCACAATTGTCTGCAGCATCATCTTGATTTGTTACCTCATCAGTACTATTTTCGGGATCATCATCGTCATTACTGTCTTCATCAGTGATTTGTTCATTTTCGTACGATACGAATTGCTCATACATCATTCGGACGAAATTGTCATTATTTGAATTAAAACCATGTTTTGAAATATATTGGGCGATGTCATTAATAAACTTCATTTCAAGATAATTGTAATCCCAGAAAACATAGTATGTCCCGTTTTCTCTAAGGACAACTGGTGTTGACATTTGAAAACCACAAGCGATTCCAGAGGACGATTCAAAATAGGCAGAGAGTTTTCCTGCAAGAAACTTATCGTCAACTTTAATTATATTTTGACTTGATATAGAAGAAGTTAATGGTCTACACAATAGCAAAATTGCTGGAATGCTGCCATATTTAAATAACACTGCTTCAAAAAAATCTTTAAATTGTGAAACAATACTTGATCGCTTTCCTTCATTTAAAAGTCCATCTAAAAAATCCTTTATATCCAATGGACTAATTTGCCATATATTTTGTTTCAAATTTGTTAAAAACAATTCTACAATATGAACAAAACCTTTTTCCATTAGCTTTTTAAACACGTAGTCACCAACTGCATATAGATAATTTCCCAATCCCAATTTCAAAAAAGAAAAACAGCGAAAATATTCTGAAATGTTTTCCTTTGATTCTTGACCGTTTTCATCAAGTCTGCTAAAGAATTTAATGAGTGTTTTTATCAAAAAATCAGTTTCCATTTCAACGAAATATGTATCATTGTCCACCCAACCTATTGGTCTGCAGAAGGCAAGAAAAACATTCAATCCGGCATGCCTCATTACCTCCCTGCACAATTGGGGATGAAAGTCTACCAATGCTCCATTTTTTCCAAAATTTGTTAAACCATTTACAAGACGTGTGTACTGTTCGGGTTTAACATCTTTTATATTTTGAAAGAAAAATTGAATTATTTCATCGCGTCTATGCATCAACGCTACAACTTTTAAATACCGTCCAACGCCTGTACACGTGTTATCATCAATTGATAGCATACTGATAAGTCTTTTGACAAGTGGTTTATAATCAATGAATGATAAAACCATGCTGTCACTTAGTTCATCTATATAGCCTTTTGGTCTTATGTATTCTTGCAAAAAACAAAAATCACAGAATGTTAAAACATCGGCGTCCTCACCATATGATATAAGTACAGCCTCTTGAATGGTGTAATGCTGTAGAACGTAATGATTAGAAATCGTTGGACGCTTGCATTGCTCGCTAGTCGATGATGCTGATTTTCTGCTAATGTACTTCCCTTCTAACATAAGAACAGCTGCCTTTAGTAAAGACATTTTCACTTGATGACTTTCACCATAAAGACATGATAATACATTTTGAAAACATTTTTCATCAATATCATGAAAATTAATTGAATTTTTCATTGCCGTATATACTAATACACAAAATTGGTACTGTATCTGCTTATTATCAAAACCTTGTATTTTAAAATGATTCATTTCGTTGACTAATGATTGGGATGTATGTCTAAAATATGCCATTCCCTGTTTTGTTAAATTTTTGTTGCTACAAAATAAATGACAAGCCTGTGGAAATCCTATTTGTATTTCATAATTTCCCTGACATATATTGTGAAAAAATGATACACAAACCTTCATTGAGTTATCCTTTGTTTCAAACACATCTTTAAGGCATCTTTTTACTACCAAAGAGGGAAGAGTTTGTGACCAAGTTCCAAATTGGATACAATCACATAAAGATATACCATGCTTATTCATATGTTTTGACAAAATGATGTTTTTACTGTGGAAACTAAGTACTTTGTCCAAATTAATAAAACTATCTTTCTCGAAAATTTTGTGCTTTTCAACTAATTTTTGTTTGATCTTGTCGTTTCCTCGTATTGTAAATATCAATTTTGATTTACACGATTCTCTTTTGATACAAGAAAAAAGAACGTCAAGTATTCCCCTGTGTTGATCTTCATTGAAATCAATGTTAGATCTACCAAAAAAATCTTCTACTATTACAATATTATTTTCATTAAAATCAATAAACTCTCTCTTTCTTAATACTTCATCATTTATAAATAACATTGGTGTATACAGTTTTTCTTGGTACATCATAGCTATTTGAAGACTTATTTTAGATTTTCCTCCTCCTGCTTTAGCGATGATAACCAATGTCTTGTATCTGTCCAGGATGTCGCAACACAGTTTTACATCCTCTGTTATAACATAGGTGTCATCTTTTGAGTGTTCTGATAAGTAGGCTTCAGTTTGTTCTGAAAGTTCGAGGTTAGAATTTAAATAAAAACAATTATAAATTTAGCACCGCCAAATGATAATCAAGGAACTGCACATCTATTGAAAGAAAAAAATATGATTTGATATTTCAAAATACAAGTATGCTTGGAGGTACAAATTAAACATCCACTGATTGATAATTTTTTACCTGCGTAAATTAATTTATTATTGGACCCAGTAATGCCCAAAACAGTATGACTAAGCAAGGACGCTGGAACCGTGGAGTATAAAAAGTCAAGTATTTTGAAATCAAATTTGTTATCAGTGCTTTCCTCAGAGTCCTTATGTACATAAACACTGATATTTGTTGTTTAAATAATCATTAGTTAAACCGCTAAAATTTACCAAAGGGAACAGTAGATTAATCCAATATAACAGTAATACGTGTTCCCACAAGATTTTGATATTTCAGTCTCACACATGTACACCAATTAACAAAAAAAGAGACAATTTTTTTCTATTATATTGTTAATTTTCTTTGTTATAGACAGTAAGGTACATTTGGCCCCTTCTTGTGATGTGCATAGTTCCCCATTCGCTGCACGTACATGTATCCGTAATGACTATTTCTATAATTGATAATGTATATGATTTGCAATGTATTAACTGGTAAGTTAAGCTAGGGAAGTTACCTAAAAATGAAAATAAGATGGGTTTAATTGCAAACCAGACAACTACGCACACATAGACAAAATGACGTGGATATTAATTAAGGCGACAGCAGTTTACCGATGTTCAATTTTTTTTAATCGATGAAGAAAAGACAAATCAGGGTAACAAACAAAAATTGGGGGAATCGCATGAACTCAGAAAGAAGCAAGGGCACGCGTCACCTGCTATGCATGCATTACCCGCCATGCGAATTCCCACTCAGAAAACATGTTACAATCGGTATAATTTCAAATAAGACGACTTTACAGATATCTAGAGAGGTGACACCACGAAACATGTCATTAGTAAGTTGAGACACCGATACATCGTATCCATTTACCAATTCATGATGGTGACAGTAAAATTTATGTAGTGTTGATTACATTCGTTCTCCTCTGTAAGAACAGTTTTGTGTAAGGAACATACCCCAACAATGAAGTCCGTATAGTGTGAACATGAACGATCGTAGCGTATCAACTGAGGTATGTAAACGACATAAGATGGAGCAGAGGGTATGTTACAGCTGAATTGGGAATTTGACAATTGGAAAGTTCAAATCATCACGTTTGTCACAGATTCTAGTTTTAATTCGATTTTTCTGTGCCAATATCTATGAAAAGATAAAGATATGAAGCATATCTTCTACTTTCAGTACTTTCCTTATTTTAAGGTTCACTGGGATACATGAGATATAAGCAATCATTGAAATGCAATTGAATGAGTCACAGAGAACATCATCAATATATATGAAAGTGAAATCAAAGAACTTTGCAGAGGCTCTTTATTTTTGTCTTTGAAAAGGTTCTGTATGAATTCTGCTTATATGAAGATTTTGGAGTGTATGCATATGGACTATACATGTATATCTCCTATTTGATACGATATTCAAGATCTTGAATGTCCTATCATGCTGTCCTTGTTAGAGGATTGCTGCTTACAAAGGAACTATTAAACCAAGTTTTCCAAAAATAAAATAACAACAATACCGAACTCCAAGGAAAGTTCGAAGCGGAAAGTCCTTTATCAAATGGAAAAATATGAAGCTCAGACATATCGAACGAATAGAAAACAACTGTCATATACCTGACTTGTTACACGCATTTCCTTATGTAGAAAATGGTGGATTAAACCTGATTTTATAGCTAGCTAAACCTCTAACTTGTATGACAGTCGCAGAGAATTCCATTATATTGCCAACAATGCAACAATGTGTGAGCAAAACAAAAAGACATAATAGGTAAAAATGTCAAAAATTATGATACAGCAGTCAACATTGTGTACTAATCTTTTACAATACTAGCACAGCAAAGGTATACACAACAATATTTAGGCATGCTTGCAGTAACTTAAAGCAAATTCAAAAGCGACAGTTAAGATACAATCATTCCGTCCTACAATGTAAATCGGCAGTTGTAATTTAGACCACATTTTAATCGGCAACGTCACAAAAAGTATAGGAAGATGCGATGTTGTGTCGAGCTTACAGTAAATATGTACAGAAGGCATACACCCCCTAATAAAAATGAATGTATATGTTCAATAAAAAAATCAAAATAATTTATATTTTAACTCGAAAGTAGATATTTGTATTAACAAATCTAGATAAGTATTAACTAAAAGAATAGGGAAACTTTTATTTACAAAATGTGTATGATATAAATTAGATGATGGTGATATAAAAAGAGACTTTCATATATCTTCCTTTCCATTCACTTGTAATAAAAATATACGGTTTAGTTCTTTCATTTCAAATTTTCTATTTTCTGCGTGTTAATTATTTTTATAACATACAATACCATAATTTGTAAAATTAAAATTGCATTATAATTTCAGTAAAATGTGTGTATTATTTAAAAAAAAAAAAACTAGATGATGGCTGTATATCCCGTTTTGTAGTTCGTAATTGTTCGAAGAAAATACCGGACTTGGATGTACATGTATTTCAATTTTTCCCAAACAGTAAAAACCAGATAATAATAATAATATAGGTTTAACAAGTTTATGGTCTGTTTAATTCTTCTCTTTATCTATTTCTACAACTTAAGTAAAATTGATATTTTATCACTGTTACCACGGCGACGGTGTTAACAAACAATGTATTAGTTTGTTATAAGGTCAGTTTATGTAACACTACTAGTGGTAGTCGATGATATTTGGTATGCAGTTGTATTGGCATTGGCAAGTCTTATTTCCGGGGAGATTATTTGGTCCTTCCCCTCATTAATGGTCTATTGACCTCAAATGTTTTTCATATTTTATAAGTTTAAGTTTGTGATTATTCCAGTTTCAGATGAAACACTAATGTTAAGTCAATGATATTTGGTATGCAGTTGTATAAGCATTTACAAGTATACTTTCCATGGAGATTATATGGCCCTACCCCCTCAAAAGGAATCATTGAATTTGATAATGCATAGTTTACACGCTAAAGTTTGTGTTTTGGTTAGTTTAAGGGGAACCACGTATGATAAGTCAATGATATTTGGTATGCAGTTTATAAGCAATTGCATTTCACATTTCCAAGGAGATTTTTATTTTGCCAAGTACCTTCAGTCATGGTTCATTGACTTAGAATGTTTCGCACAGTTTACATTTTAAATATTGTCATTTTGATTTCAACATTTGCATTATATTATCAAAATTACATAAAGGCGAGACATATCTCTGTGTCAACAGTAATAATTACAGATATATTAGCAATGATAAAAAAAAAACAAAAACAAAACTTTTTTATTTCGAAAACATGTATGATATAAATAAGATGATGGCTGTTATTCCTGTTTTTAAGTTCGTTTTTAAGTAACAAAATGCCAGACTTGGCTGTACGTGTATGTCAAACTTCCCTTAACAGTAAACTTAAATAATAGCAAATGAAAATATAGGTTAGAAAAGTAATAAAATAAATTTTTCCTTTTAAATTCATCATTTAGTCTTTATTTATATTTTTAACTTACCTATGATATTTCTCTTTCTGTAGTCTATAAAAATGAAATGATATAAAATTGCAAACATTATTCTGTTACTTTCGCTCTTGATTTCTTGGGATTCGTACAAAATTTAGTATAAATGTAAAATAATCTGATACTACTGTAGATTTTCTGTGCTTACTGAATGTAAGATATTCAAGATGGAGTGTTATGGCAGCAACATATATGTATTTGTTTGGGCTTTTTTTATGAAAAATATATCGATTGGTTTATTAGAAGAATTAATCGTTTTGATACAAATCTTTCTCTATATTTTATATATTTATAGGGAATATTCATATGTACGAAGAAACTGTTTCAGTTTTCAGTCAAATTGAACATTCTAAAAGTGTATGAAAAGTCTTAGAAACAATCTGATTTAGATTGCTCAATTACTGAACATTTAGCTAAACTGTATTCTTCTCTAATATGCTTACCCACTTCGCTAACTTGGCCTTCGATTATGCCCATACGACAATCCAGTCTTTCATCTTGTGCAGTCAGATGTTGTTGCAATTTATCAACTTTCTAAAATTTAAAAAAAAAATATTTGTTTTTTTTCACTTGTGGAGTGTGAAATAGAAAAAAAAATTTATGTAAGAATTTGGGAAAATATATAACGCGTGATTTATGTGAAATAGATCTTAATTGAATTTCTTTATTAGATTTGATATGTATAAGGTGATATGTATAAGGTGATATGTATAAGGTGGTATGTATAATCCGATGTAGTTTTGCAGTTACTATTGGTACACGTATCATATTGAAAAAAAGAGTAGTTGTAACGATGTTCTCGGTCTACATGAACAATTAGGTTGGTGGTCATATGTTTATAAAAACAGGAGTTTATTTTCACTATTTCATTCAACTGTATTTCAGTTTGTTTTCAAATTTGCCAAAAAACTCTTAAATAGTTCAGTTAGAAGTTTTTTTCATTATTTTTAATCTTGAGATATATGTTTAGTATGACAAATAACTTTTTGAATGATACCTCTTCAATATTCCTGTCGTATAAACTCTGTTGCATCAATGTATTTTGGTACTGTATAAGTATAGTCTCATCCAAAGGTCTCTGAGAAACATCATTTAGTTTTTGCTGCATTTCGTTTTCAATATTGCAGAATCGAGCAATTCGAAGAATAATACCTTCTACATCAGTTTTGTACTTTGTATAGTCAGTATCGGTAACTCTTGCTTCCTGTACATGGCCATACAGTTTGTTTCTACATTTAACAAGATCTTCTATATCTTGCCTAAGGATAGAATTTGTTTGGCAGTTTTTTGCAAAATTGATCAACAAACAGCGTAGTAAGGTGATATCTAGATTAGTATATGACAAGGATGATTTTGCTGGACGACAACAATGTTGAGACTTTCGAGCTATATTTGGATTGTGTCCATGCAGGGTTGGCCCACATTTATCTAGCAATATATCAAGTTGGTCTGGATGTATAATCCTACTTTGAGTTGTTGGTACAAACCGTCCACCTGGACATTTGCAACAGGGGTTTTTATTGTAACAAAGATGATAAATATCATGCTGATGTTTGTTGATGAAATCTTCAAAGGTCATATTTGTGTTTGACAATTCATTGTCTAGAACTGCTGACAGCGATTCCTTTCCATGGTCGACTATTACAGTTGAATTTCTATAGAAGTTTTCTCGTTCCTTTTGAGCCATAGTTAAATCTGAAAGCAATACATATTAAGATCAGTTTGTATAAATCACCTTGTACCGCTACATAATTTTATCATAAATTAAGGCAACAGAAGTGTACAGATGTGAAAATCTAATAATTCGATTAAAAGCTACATTTTGTACAAATAAAGATATCAAACAAAAGGAATCGCATGAACTCTTTAAAGACCGAGCTTGGGTACGTCGACAGGGTAAAGGTAGTGTCTGTTATCAAGATTGCATACTGTACAGAAACTCGAGGTAGATGTAGATAAAATGATCTAGTTTTGTTTTAAAGCAGATGACTAAATGTAGGTACTCGTTACAAAACAATTATTTCAAAGTATTATGTGTGACACATTCAAAGTTCATGAAAACATAAACATATAGTTAAAAGTGTTTAACAGAATATGAAATATGTCAATTTTATCATTAACCATCATATCAGGCTTCAAAATCTACACCGTGCTTGTTCATAAAAGTAAGCGGACCAGCTCCTAGTTCATAGGTGTATATTCGGAACGCTTGCTTTCCGATTCAATCGACGGTAACGATTGCTTTCCGATACCCGTAACGCTTGCTTTCAGATTTATATTGACGAAGAAGCAGGAGACACGAAATGAGGATGGACGATACTTGAATCGGATGGTAAATGGTGTTTTCTGTTGTATCTCACGGAACTTTAGAGATATTTTTCTTGATATAGATGTAATGCTTTTCATCATAAAAAATTGTAATCAGGTCGTAAACGGTCCCACAAATGCAACACTGTAAACAAGAGAACACAAGAATGCAATTCTTTCGTATGAAACTGTTTAAAACATTTAAAATTAACTCGGGTTTCAAATCCTCTATTGACTTTCCTTTCATTAATACTCTTCCGATCTCAAAATTCATTTAATATAACCATAAATGCTCTTTGAAAAAAATCACAGGAAACGCTGTCTTTCAGATTGTTTACCTTCAGCGTCATTCTGAGAAACGATTGCTTTCCGATTTACAGGAAACGACTTTTTTCAGATGGAACGATTTGCTAATCATTGGATCACATGCAGACTATATTTTTGTTCCTTTGAATAAAATATATGAAACACAAAAAAACCAATAAAACGAAATCCCGAAAATAACCACAAACAAAAACAAAGTTATAAAAAACAAGTCATGTGTTCCGAAAGGGTAAATAATTTCTGCTACTTCTGTATTCAAATAACAACATTTTGGCAATTACTTTTGAAAGAAAGAGAAAACCCACAATAGACGGGAAAAGCTAGATCTATGGCTACATCCACAAAAGAGTACATAACATTAATATTATACATACTGTGACAAATGACAACACCCGCAAAAGATTATTGGATTACTACATCAATTAATAGTGCAACCTGTAATAGTTCAATCACAGAATCACAGTCCAATGTGTGAACTTTCATATTTTATAAAGAGATTACCTATTTATTAATCACGAGATATAATCCAGAAATGTCGACATACTTTGACAAATTTTGGGAATCTATACTGAAAAACATATAAATATTGTCAATCACATCAACAATTATGCTAAAAGAAACGTTATGTATTGTCTTTTTGAAAAAAAGTTGGTAAGCAGTGTTCTCCGATGCAAAATTTCGCCCTGAAAATGCATGATATATTTGCCACTAGACGTTAAGCAACAATCGATCAATCAATCAATCAATCGATGCAAAATTTGAAAAACAACATGTAAAGCTTGCAATTTTGTATCAAATGCTTGCAACGGTGAAAATGTAGCGCTGATTCGAATAACATGTTGTTTTTGTGAATTATGTAAAAATTGTTGAAAAAATATTTAAAATTTATTATATAGACGGAGACTGTAATTCAGTGGTTGATGTTTGTTACTGTGTAACATATTTGTTTTTCGTTAATTATTTTGTACTTAAAAATTATGCCGTTAGTTTTCTCGTTTGAATTATTTTACATTTGTCATTTCAAGGCCTTTTATAGCTGACTATGCGGTATGGGCTTTGTTCATTGTTGAAGGCCGTATGGTAACCTATAGTTGTTAATTTCTGTGTCATTTTGGTCACCTGTAGAAAGTTGTCTTATTGACAATCTTACCACATCTACTTTTTTTATATATTGATTAAAACTTCCTTACATCTTGGGCAGGAAGAACTTACTATTATCAAGTGGTAGGGATGAGCCGTTGAAATAGGTCACTTTTTTAAGCTTCTTGATCTATATGTTAAGATCGAAAAAATCATATCATAAACGTGACACCCCGCCTTAGATAACACAGATTTGTCGGTATTCTTGAAAAATTACGTGAAGAGGGTGGTAAAGGGTTATTTTCGTGCAACGTGTTTTGCCATTTTTATTTCACGTGCAGCCGTGAAAAAGGTTCGTTATTCACCGTGTTTCATGAAATCGGTAAAAAGAAATTTTTAATTGTTCGTTCATCGTGAAATGGCAATTTTATTTCGCGTTCTTCCGTGCAGATACCCCCCCCCCCCCCTTTTACGCCCCTCTATGAAGTTTCGTGAACAATTATATTCTAGAATATAAAGTTGATATGCACTACTATTTTATTCAAAGTATGTCAACAAATCAAATTATCTATGAATATTATATATCTCCCCAAAAGAGGCGTGGTTTGAGAAACAGCTGTATTTACAAAGTGCAACCTTAATTACTAGTACCATATTTGACTGAACTTGCACTCTTAAATCTAAAAGTAAGCGTTTCCTGAATCTGAAAGTAAGCGTTACACATCGATTTTCAGAAAAGCGGTAAATAAACACAATAACATCATTTGCGAAGTTTAAAGCTTGTATGCAAATGATATACCAACCTAGTTAAGATAAAACTGCGTTGAGAAAGTTAAGTAAATGTGGATGAAGTTTTAAAATTGGGATATGTTTGGCTGTAAATCTATTTTACAAGACACCGCAGTTCTGTTGTAAACGAAATCACATTCATTTATCATTGTAAGAAACAATAAATCATGAAACTGGATACCTGTATACTTGTTTTGTTCCGTCAACTTTAGTTTCATTCACGAAAATTGATAATTCATTATTATTTTTAATTTTGTAGCAACCTACCTTTCTATCCTGTCTGTGCAAAATCCGAAAGTAAGCGTTTCCGTTATCGGAAAGCAAGCGTTAACGTCGATTTTTAAAATCGGAAAGCAAGCGTTTTGAATATACACCGTGTAGTTATTTTAGAAGTATTAATAATACATAATTAAACACTCCGCTCGTCACAGCTTGATACGACTGCAGAGGTCGAACCCTGAATAGTTGGGGCAGGTATGGACACAACACTCAAGCTTTATGCAGCTATCAATTAGGATTGTGACGAATTATTTGACACAGCATAGGTTTGTGACACAAAATGAAAGTTGAATTTAAATTTGGAATTGGACATTTACCTATTATGGTCCAATATCCAAAATCTAAATACATAGTTAGATTCAGCATATCAAAGAACCCCAAGAATTCATTTTTGTTGAAATCAAACAAAGTTTAATTTTGGACCTTTTGGACCTTAATGTTGACTTATATGAAAACAGCACCCAAAATAAAAAAAATATATTTACACGGTTAGATTTGGCATATCAAAGAACCTTAACAATTCATTTTTTTTATGAAAACATACAAATTTATTTTGGACCCTTTGGACCTCAATATGGACCAATTTAAAAACGATGCCCAAAATTTAAATCCAAATGCACGGTTAGTTCAGCATATTAAAGAACCACAAGAAATCAAGACTTTGAAGTAAACCTCATTGATCAAGAAATAATTAATGTATACAAAGTATTAGAAAAGTATTATTGTTTGCCCCTTTTCGGCCCCTAATACCTAAGCTATTAAGGCCATAACCCCCAAAATTGACCCAAACTTCCTTTTTGGTAGAAACCGTGTGGTGCAATTTCATATAGATCCATAGACTTACACTCAAGTTATTTTTTGGAAACCAGAAAAACATTGTTTGTTGGCCCCTTCTTCCTAAACGGTTTAGGCCATAACTCCCAAACTCAACCCCAACTTTTCTTTTTTGGTATGGAACCTTGTGGTACAATTTCATAGAGATCCATAGACTAATACTCAAGTTATTGTCCGGAAACCGGAAAATCCTTGTTTTGGTCCCTAATTCCTAAACAGTTAGGACAATAACCCCAAAAATCAATCCCAACTTCCTTTTATGGTATGGAATCTTGTAGTATAATTTTATAGAAATCCATAAACTTATACTCAAGTTATTGCCTGGAAACCAAATGTCGTCGTCGGACGACGACGACGACCGACCGACAACGACAACGACGCCACACCATTATACGGCCTCAATTTTTTTGCGGGCGTATAAAAAGAAAACAATCATTATCGGACTGTACATAACTGTTTACCATTTTACTGTTTTAATCTTCACATGTAACCTTTAATGGTTATTTTGTCAACGTTTAGTTTTGTTTACCGTTGATGAAAAACAAAACATCTATCTGAAATTTACTCTCACTTTACAGTTAAATGACTTGTTTTCTTATTTTTTTTCCCCATTTGCGATGAGTTTTGAAACAAATTGATTTGCTTTCTGTACATGAAGATTTTTTGCGTAAATTGCTAAATATTTAAACTAAAATGTGTATTCTAAAAAAAACTTTACATTCAAGTGTTGTATCCATCGGTAATTAAATAAATGCAACTTTGTAAACTGATAAGGTTTTTTTTTATATTTTATCCAATTATTCCTAATCGGCATCTTCTTTTTAAACTGCGAATGTTTTATATATATCCATTTGTAGAGATATTTCATGGTATATATTAAAATCTTACCTGGTTAACTGTTTTCAATTATTTCTTCCTTCACAAAATGGCCGCTGTTAATACACAAATATCATGAATATAGTCCAGTATATTTTAATGACGTAATTTTATACTTGGTTGCATCTTTAAATGTCTTTTTATGTGTGTACAAAAATACGATCAATAATTCAAATATGTAAAGAATCATTATAATGCTATATATTTGCACAGTATTACGGTGCATAGAAAACAGATATACGATATTTACATTGGACAGACTACACTTCGGCAATTTTTTTTAAAACTTTGGTAAAAAAAACACGAAATACATTTTATTGACATGTTGTCAATAAGACATAGATTTTTAATATACCAAGTCAAATTAAATCTAATTAAGAATAACAGGTCATTGAATGCAGATCAATACATTTAAAATAAAAGTGCATGTGTTACATCGTGTCTGGTTTTACAATCTACTTTCGATTTCTTATATTCAATCTTTACAAGTCTCTCTTAAAATATTTATTTCACCGAGTGGAACGTTTAGTTTTCGAAATTTAAAATATTTAATTTTACACAACATTCTTTTTATGAGAAACATTAAATATAAGTTTGATAATAAACCATGGTGAATCCAATTTTACATCATGCATTTATTAATAAAAAATGTGTAATACCTTTATTATTGTTTTTTAAAAACCTACGCATACATCAATTTTTACAGGGAAATTGATACTTTAATTTTTCCATACTTACTAATTTTATTCTCTTCGTGCTGTGCTACACATAAGGCCAACTTCACTCATGGAAGTATAAGGATTCTAGAATTCAATACGTTCATGATTTATCTAAATCTAAATGAAAAAATGTCAAAAAGGCATGTAACTTAAAACCTGTTTCCATTAAAAAATAAAAGAGCGGATAAAGTGTTATCGGCTTCCTGGTGACTAACATGGGTTGTGTAATCACTTCGATGATTCCGTGTCATTTTCAATTAGATTATGACTTTGTTTTAAAGACTGTTATACAAACAACAAGTTTGAGTCACGATTTGGATGGTTACTTTTTATAAGTGTTATTTCCATTTTTATAATTCACAATAAATATGTCAATAGTGTAACCCTTTCTTATACCATCGTTACATATTTTCAAAAAGTTCTCTTACAGTTCGCCGTACGACCTTCAACAATGAGCAAAACCCATACCGCATAGCAAACTTTAAAAGGTTCCGAAATGACAAATATAAACAAATTCAAACGAGAAAATAAACATCCTGATTTGAGTACAAAAAAAGAAATGAAATTTATCTTGGAAAGTCTTTCTTTTTTCATATAAAAGACGTAAAAACAACCTTTTAGAACCAAAGTTAAATTGCAATTTTTATCCTCCAAGTAGGAGGAAAATAAAGAAGCAATTTAATCGAAATGATGGGATGCATTCCATGTACATGCAATAATCCCATTATATTATCTTTCGTCTCTCTTTTAAATTATAACATTTTAATTATCACATTGCATAATTATAATCAAGATATATTAATTGAAACAGAAAAAAGACCATTGGATTTTTTTTCATCAATTTGACTCTATTATTAGATATAATATAACAATCATTAAGTGTGCATTGTTGCATTAAAAATAAGAATTAAATTACAATTGTAGGAGGCAGTACTTCTCGATCATTACCACGGTAATCAGGAAATTCAGTATGAGTGTTCTTGTCACTAACATACAATAAACATGTTCAGTAAAGATCAACCAATTTGTGGCAATATTTTAGATAATTTACAAAGTGATCAAATAGTACCAACGTATAATTTGGAAGTTAACATAAATAGAAGTCAAATTTTTCTACAGATTAATTTGGCGTAAAATATAAGATACTAGTATTCTATTGTCTTTTCAAGTTGAATTCATTAGTAGAGTAATGCCGACAAGTAAGAGAAAGAAGCAAAATTAAAATAAACAAGAGTAGAAAGATTTAGGGAATAAACTGCATTGTTATAAAATCAAATAAAGCTGCATGTTTAACGCGATGAGAAAATCGAATTCGAAACGTTTTTATCGAAAATTGGAAAGTATTTAGATTAAAGTTTAAAGGTATAAAGGTGCCATTTTTTATAAAGGGTCCCGTAAATGTGAGTAATTTATGAATCTAAATATATTGTTGAATTATAATGGTATTTTTCTAATACTCAGAAAATTATGTCAAATCATGGTAAACAGCAGTGTATTTAGTAAAATTGAAGACAACTACTGTAATTCTGCGACACTTGTGTCTTTATTTGATACATAAACTTACCATATAATCCAGGCTGAACATTTTGTACACCAGACACTTGTATCGTCTGTATCAGTGATATTTATATATTTAGATTTTTTGAGTACATATGTTTCAAGCATAGTAAATTACGATAGTGGAGTGTAGGGATGTCATAAAAAATCAACATTAAAATTTTTCATTGATCTTTTTTAAAGAGAATTTTGAAAGTTAAAAACAGGACTACAGACTTCATGAAGTAATTTGGACTAGGTAGAGTCCCAGAGGTATTGTACAATGACGAAATATTTCTGTTAATTGTTATAACTGACAATTGTATTCTGTGAAACTGTTATGCAGAAATGCTGGATGCAGCTTTTCCTGAAATCGCAATAATTAATCTTGCCTTTAGGTCAATCCTTCAAAAATCGCAATAATAAATGCAATAATTTTTGAATTTACAGTATGTAAAAATTAAACATAAATTTAATTGGTCATTTAAAATAAGAGACTTAAAAGGTTATTATTGCTTGAGTAATGTATGATTGACACTAAATGTTATAATTGCAGATATGTTTATAACCGAGTTCAAACAGCGTGTTACTGATACATTTATAACTGAAGCATTGTAATTTTTTGAAGTCTCCTAAATTCGGTCGTTATGAAGGTCGGATATTTCGATTATAACTGGTAACTAGAGTCTCTAAAGAGCAGGTGTCGCTCACCTTGGTCTATGTGCATATTCAGCAAAGGACACTCTCAAACATTGTAGACGAGAACGGAATTTATGACAAAAAAATCTCCGTATTGTTGATCTTGTATTGCTGATCATATATTCTGTTTAGTTTCTCCCTATCTTCTTTAGTTTTTGTTTAAAACACAAAAGAGGATAACAAAATCCTCATTTCAGAGCAATCACTCCTATAAAAAGTGAGAGTCTACTATTGGCAAAATTTGACTTGTTAGTAGATCTTGCTTTGCTGATCATTTTTGTGATTTAAAGTGTCTATTTATCTATTATAATTTTTATCATATGTAACAAAACACAAAAAAATGGTAAAAATCATCATTAAAGGGCAATAAATCCAAAAAGGAGTCGTCGGACAATTTCCTCCATCAGTCTTAATTGTAGATCTTGTCTTGTTGATCATTTTTGCTTATATCTAATTTTCTATCTTTTTATTATAATTTTTAAGATATAAGGCAAAAACGCAAAAAAATGGTAAAAATTGTCATCAAAGGGCGATAACTCTAATAAGGAGTCGAATGACGATTTTGACCATCAGACTTATTTGTAGAACTTATCTTGCTGATTATTTTTGCAATTAAAAGTTTCTTTCTATCTGTTACAGTTTTCAAGATAATAGGCAAAAATGAAAAAAATGGTAAAATTTGTCATTTAAGGGCAATAACTCCTATAAAAAGTCGTCTGACAGTTTTGACGTATATATGACAACTGGTAGAGCTCAACATTCTGAACCTTTTTGTCCTGTCAGATTTTCTCTATTTTTTCAAAATGAAAAACAAAACTTGCATTTTATCCCTATGTTCTATTTTTAGCCATGTCGGCCATCTTGGTTGGTAGGCGGGGTCATCGGACACATTTTTAAAACAAGATACCCCCAATAATACTTGTGGCCAAGTTTGGTTAAATGAGCTAAAAATGAGCGTATTTTGGATGAGGGCTAAGAGATTGTCTTGCAAAAGACTTCTTAAGTGTCATTGCAAGGGTTCTTTAAAGTACAGAGAGCGTTGCATTCTCCCTATAGCAGACGTCCCAAATTTGACGAGAAGGGTCTGCATATTTTATATCCCGCACAGTAAGAAACAAACGTCTCGCTTAAGTATGGGTTTAATTAACTTCTTATGGGAAAGTTCGTCGATGACCATATGTTTAAAGTCTTGGGGGATGCAAGTACTTTTAAATTAGTTTATCGTCTTGTTCATTATAGGCAAAAACCCTTGCTTACTAAGGAAAATCATAGATAAAATAGTGAAGGCGTGTAAAGAAACAAAGATATATAAAACCACCACTGTAAAGTTTTGGGTTTTTTCGTACATATTGTTAGGCAAATTAATTAGAATTAAAAAATGCGTAGTTAAGACGACAGCCTCACAGCACAAGAAAAAAAAACCAAAAACATCTAAATCCTTAAGTAAACTTCATAATAGCATGAATAACATATACGTATATCTACAGTAATGTACATACATCTAACGTAGTCATAATATAAGTATCAATTATCCAACACGAAACCATCCGAAAACAGGGTGATTCAGGTACTCCGTAGAGGTAAACAGTTGCTGCTCCACTAGTGACACCCGTCATACTGACCATGTTACGTTATAAACACCATGTGCATGAATACGTATAATAATTAATACTTAGTATACCGGATTGGTAAATTTCTGTTGTCTTACCCTACGGCATCACCAAATCATTATACGCTATTGGCACATGTACATTCCCTAACCCTACTCCTTGACTACACACAAACAATATTTCAAGATGGAAGATAAACAACACTGGTACAGGTAGAAACAATAAGGACATTGAAAATAAGAAAGCACAAAATACAAAACTGAATTATAAGGAAAAACAACAAGAACTCTTTTAAAACAAAACTAGGGTTGACCACAATTGTTCATGGATGATAAGCGGTTTTTGAGCCTCTACCACACCCGTCGTGATGCTCATTACAAGTATAAATTTGGAGTTAAGTAGAATTTTGGATGACACAACCAAGGAAAGGAGGATAGGATTATGGCTACGATTTTAGAGCATATCCATGCGTTTATATGATGAAGACATAA